TTCACGTTCCATCTCGTGCATTTGTGGGTAAAGCACGTTTAAAATGATGTGCACGTAACTTGTTTTGGTTGTGCGCACCAAAACTTAATAATGTCGTTCAATTTCTTTTTATTTGATATGGTAATGACAACGGTAGCGGGTTTTTTTTTTTTTTCCCAATTATAATTGTTCTCTTAATCATGACCTAGGATTCAGCATAATGGTAATGCAAGTACAAGACTTAAAGTACACGGGCTTAATTGTAATTTAAGCGAGATTCTGATTTCAAGCCATTCACAATATTCGATTGAGCCAAAGAATGTTCATTGTTTGATTCACAATTTTGATGCATCAAATCGTAAAGTTTTAGATACTATACTTTTAATATCAAAATATAATAATACTACAATCGAAATATGTTCAACTCATAAATTTACAAGTAGAATAATTATTTATGATTTTTTAAAATAATTTATTGGATATATATTATTACGATTTGTAATGTTCTACAATTATAAAGTGTTTCAAAATAAATTAATCGACATAGCATTTCATCTCCTAACTAATATAAAGGAGGGCAATGTATGGCTACGTACTGTTTATCATAACATTGTTCACTGCCGCGACGTCATATTTGTATTTCCCTTTCCTTGCCATGTATGGAAGTAAAATGATAGTGTTTAACACAAGAGTGACGTCGTTTTTGTTTTGCCAATAAATTATATTTTCAGCTATTTGATTTCTCTCCACCGAAAAAAAAATTCCATGCAATTTCACATTTTCTTCCAAGTTCCAACCTTGCAAATTTACTATTTCCGGCCGATCTGTCTCCAAAATTGTGGTGGTCGCTGAATTTTGAAGCAACATTCTCGGATTTTTGGAATTTGGGTATTAAGTTTTTGCTTTTTTGCCTTTCGGGGTTTTGAAAATGAAGTATTTTTTGTGATGTGAACTCATGTAGCAATGGTAATTTCGAAACCCACACAAGATTAAATCACAATCCCAAAAAAGCTAAAATTTCGATTTGAAGATTGACCCAATAATTTATTGAATCAAGGAACTTGGCTCCTTAATCACAAAAATTATGAACCTTACTATGAAATTGTTGAACGCCACAAAGATGAAATTCCTGATAAGTTCAAAAAAATATGACAAAGATTAATAATATCACTCTCTATTTTTGCAAACTTCCTCATCATTCTGGACGGGATGGTGAGGAAGTTTGTAAAGACAAAAAGTGATAA